TATATATATTATAAAATAAAATAAAGAAACCAAAACTTACATTTGTTGCCGTGGATAACTCGGATTGGTTTTCAACAACTAACGTGAGCCATAGTCATAGTTTTAGCCAATCAGAGCAGAGTAGAGCAGGTCTTTCTTTCTGAGCCCAGGTGAGATCACCACAGCTCCTCCTGTCCTCACCAAGCGTCTGGACAAGTCCTCCTCCCAAACTGAGCCGCTGGACATAATGTCCATGTATTGTAGATATGAAGGGTACACATTTAATCCACTTTATTTCATTGATTCTGACTCAATGGCTTCTATGTTGTTCAGTTTTTCATTTAAATATTAAACCTGTTTATTTGTAACATTCTGTGGAAGCAGTAGGTAATTGCTGTTGTGCGCGGTTTGTGAATTTGAGGAAATTGTTATTGGAACGTCCTTGAAAGGTCCTTGAATTTTATGTTGTTGTTGTGTGGGAATCCTGTAAAATGGACAATATTAGTACAGATTAATGCAGAAGAGGATTAGGGCCACTGAAAGAATATGAAAAAAATCTGACTTCAATCTCAGAATTCTGACTTTTTATTTTTTTCATTGGCCCTAATCCTCTTCTGCATCAATACTGCATGTACTAATATTGTCTATTTTAGTTACAACCAATAAGAATAAACACAAGAATAAAGTTCTCCTTGTGTTCCAAGACTGCAGTCTCAGTTTGTGTCTGAACCTCAGTAGCAGCAGATGAGTCAGGTTATTCTGAGATTAAAGTCAGAATTAGAATTCTGATTATTTGATTAAAGAATTCAGATTTCTGAGGAAAAAAAGTCTAGGTACTGGGTCACTATTAAGACCTTTAAGTGCATTTTTTACTCCACAAAATGTGGAAATCCCTTGTTTTACATGTGAAAACACATATGAGTTAAACATGTGGATGGAACTAAACAAGAATGTCACACGTGAAACTAGAGAATTTGCATTTTCTGCTGAAATGCAGCATGAATGCTTAATGCTAAAATATTTTTTGCATTTTTGCTAAAGATGTCCAAAAATAGTGATTGTGTTGTAACATAATCTAAAGTTAGCAGAAAAAAAATAGCTGAAAAAGCTGAAACAGGAAGAGCATGTTTGTTGAAAAAAGCAGCTAAAATGATCATGAAAAGGAATAAATTTAGATGAAAATAGCTAAAAAAGTAGCTTAAATAGCTGAAAACAGCTGAAAGAAGCACAAAACTCTTAGCAGGAAGAATTTGATAGAAGCGCACACACGCACACAAACAATAACTAGAATAGCAGAATGATAACTGAAAAAGTTGAAAAAAACTAATAATAATAATAATAATAATAATAAT